GTGAATTTGGAACCCGAGCTTTGAATTCAGAGTGACAGAGATGGCAGCTCTCTGTACTGATGGTAATTCAGCTCAATATAGGGAGTCATGGTCACCTTGGAAGCCACATATTCATGCATGGACCAAATGGAGGCAGAAGGGTTAATCAAGATTCCGAGCAGATTGAAAACCAGAAATGTATTCTGAAGAAGGATGGTGGATAGCAGATGTGGGGCTGCTGAGACTGACCACTGATGGGAGGACCAGCAGGGCAAGCTATGGTCTCAGTCCCATAGCTGGGGGAGGGGTAGGTGCTGCAGGAAAGGAAAGACTGATTTCCCTACCTGCTGTAACACCAGGGACGTGAGGCAGACGAAGGCCAGCATGTGCTACTGACCAACAAATAGGCACAAAACTAGGCATGAATGGGCGGACTGTCCATGTTGAGAGCAGGTGCAGCTTAGGGGGTGTTCCTCTGGCAGACAGCAGGTTGTTACTGTGGCTGCTTTGGGCTGTGCACAGATTCCCACTGTCATACCTCTATCCCCCACTGGGCTGAGAGCGCTCAGTCGGCAGGGGCCATCCTTCTCTGTTGGCCAGGATTTGATCCAGCTCGGGAGTGCCTGAGGACAGGATATCAGATCTACAGTCCCATGACTTAAGAAGTTCCTCGGGGGACGATTCCCACAGAGCTTGTGTGTGACGCATCCGCCACACATCTGTCCCTGAAGCTCTGAGAGGATAAAGGAACCAAGAAGAGACACCACCTCCAGCTAGCAAGCTCTTCAGCTAGATCTCCTTTCTCATCTCCCAGCTTTGTGGTGGTGGAAAATTAAAGGCTGACTGACAGACAAAGAAGCTTATTTTTCAAAGTCGGACATCTGGTTCGGGCTCCAAACCCCCTGTCTATTCCTCATGTGACTTGAGACCTCAGGAAGGTCTCTCGGACCTTAGAACAGATGCCACTCATCAGAGAGGAGTTCACCCTCTCCACTAGCAGGCAGCATTCTTGTCTCAGACAAGGCACAGGAGAAGGACCACGGTCAGGGAATTCATCTTTACCATTTGCATTCGAGGCTTTGGGCTAATTTACTCCAAGTCTTTGAAATGAAGTTTCCATATTTACAAAATGGGACTCATATTTCATTTAGGTTCCTAGGAGACCTAAGAATGGATTTATACCAAACATGAGATCTGGCACCAAGTAGGTGCCAATAAAAGTTATGTTCCCATTTGGAAGTGGAAATTTTGCCACTACAAAGCTCAGAGCCAATTCTGAATTTGAAAGTTAATAGTCTGCAAATTCAGATCACATCTTAAGATAATTATAACTTGATCTTGACCTTGTCCTCATTTATGTTTTCCTTCCCCTGATCATTTATTTTCTTACTGCTCTTTTATTGTAGGTATTCTTATTGGGTACTTCCCAAATACTTTGGGGAACCAGGCAGAGAGAAGCTAAGTGATACCTGAAGACATGAGTCCTTATGAAGCTGCAACTGCTTGTATAATCTGGGGCGTGGGGGTCTCTCTGAACCTCAGCCATAGCTGTCTCCTTTGTAGAAAGAGGGTAATAACATGAATACTATATATGGGCAGGGATAAGGGCCTATGGCCTAAGTGTTTTTCAAAAGGCTTTTGTAAGTTATGAAAACTTATAAGTAGAAATGTTTTATGATCTGTGAGACAATGCCCTATTTTATTATTTTTTTGTAATTATCCTTGAATTGTGCCCAGGACTCATAGGACAGGGGAAAAAATGTTTTCAGTGCTGAGAGAATGGCCTTTGAATCTCACTGCAAGACTACCACTATGCCTGCTGCCTTACTTTGCAGACAGCCTGGTGGCCCAGTATCTTAGAGCCTGTAGAGATGGATTGCCTCCACCCACCAGCCATGGAACAATTCAAGAGAATGGAAGCAAAGTAGTAAAGCCAGGGTGAGCTAATGGCACCCCATGGGTGAGTCTATCAATGCTATTGTGGAAAGGGTAGACAACAAAGCCCCATATCATAGGAATTTAACAGGGGCTTGTTTGGAAGCATTTTGGTTTGAACTGAAAACAAACGAGAAGGCTCTATGAGCAAAATATTTGCAAAGAAGATTTAAGCAAGGAGAAAGAAATCATCAGAAGAACTACAAAACAATCTTAATGAGCAAGAGATCTCAGAAAAAAAAAATAAACAGTTACACAGGGCAATAAGATCAAAATGAGATTACTTAAGAAAAACCGGCATTCCCTTAAACTGAAAATAATGTACATTGTTTGTTTCTGAAATGTGACAGGCATTCCTTTTTTGAGAATGCCAAAGCACTCCACAGCAAAGAGCCCAGAGCTGACAACACCCATCACCCCTGGGTCTGGAGGTCATGTTTCTCAATGAGACTGGGAGATTTGATTGACTGGATGTTGTGCAACTTAACAGTCACTTGGAACAGAACCCCCCAGAAAATAAATCCACACCGGGAGATGCAGAGTTTGAATTAAGCAAGAGTCCACCTGTTCAATAATGAAGTAATTGCTTAGGGCTTGTTCTCCGGTAATCTTTTCTGATGTGACAACCATTATTGTGCTCTGCCTCTCTCAATGCTTCTTCAGAATTTGCAAATAATCTCAGGCTTCCTAAAGATGCTGATGCCAGTCACTTCCCTAATGCCTTGAAAATAGATTCAATTTTACATACATCAGTGTGATTTCAGAAGCAATTTCTACATCTCCAGTGGAAGCATTACTACATTACATGCCCCCCTCAAATCTCATCCCAATCGTTCCATCCCGGGGCATTTTCAAAGCTACCTGACACATTCCAGGACAATAAAAAGAATTCCCAGAACACGTTTGTGGGAATAGCCTGAGGACACCAGATGCACAGAGTCCTAAAATTTTCATTGATCAAACAAATGCAATTGAATATAACGTTAAATGAAATTTTTCTGTTTTTTTAAAAGCAATTTTATTAAAATGAGTGCAGATACCTATGCACTTTTATCTGTGCATTAAATGTGTGAATGTCAGTCTATGCATATATTGATAGTCTCTGGATTTTAAAATATCTAATTAGACTTCATTGGCTATGCTTTTTCTCCCTTGCTGGTTGGTCAGTCTCCCTCAGTCTTGGGCGTTTGCCTCTTTGGAATCTAATGTTTGACTCACAGGGAAAAACTGATGATTCCTTATGTAATCTAAGAAATTAGTGCTACTCATATTTTCACTTAAGATCAAAAAGTTTAAGCTCAACTAGCTAATAAAAAAATCAACTAGCTGATTTTTATGCATTCTTTGATCATAAGGTTTTTGGCATTTTAAGTCCTCCCATGACATCTTTATGGGAGGTGGGGCGCACAGAGGCTGGCCCCATGAGAGGTTGTGGTTGAGTGGGTACCACCCGGCCCAGTGTCTTCCATAAGTGTACTACTAAGTGTAGTTCCGTAAATGAACTTCTTTGCTTTGTCACCAAAGTAGGGGAGTCAATAAGGAGTTCCTCAGAGGCTTGAGGAGCTCAGGCTGGACATTTCTTCAAGGATAAATTAAACCCAATTCCTTGCCAACCTTTGTTCTGCTTCTCCTGACCTATGTCAATATCCACTTTTCCTAGTCCCTAGAGAATGTAAATCCCAGAGATTTATCTGGATTGAGAATGGAAGAAAGGCTGGTGTCATGAAACCTTGCTCTGCTCACTGAGAAAAATGGAAGGGAAATATTTGCTCATAAAATAACCAGTATGTGCCATTTCACTTTGTTTTAAAAGTCATTACTCATTTAGGAAGTGCTCAAGTCCAATGCCACCATCGATAGGCAAAATGAAAGTCAGTTACATGACATAAAGGCAAGTAGAAAACACCAAGGGTTGAGCCTGCACATAATCTCGAGCCAGGTCATTTTATAGTGTTTATAGTGATGAGCTGTCCTAGTTCTTAGGAAACCGATGCGAAATTCTAAAATGACAGTATCATCAAGTGTGGAGCACACTTCTAAGTGGTTCCAAGAATTACACAGAAATAAATAAATATGGGTATAAACTATAAATGTACATATGTAGGTATCTGTGTGTACATATATGTGTGCACATATACAGGAAGAAAGTGCAAATATAAAATTGAACAACTGGTGAATCTAGGCAAAAGGGAATATGAATATTCATCTTACTATTCTTTGAACCTTTTTATATGTTTGAGATGCATATCTTTCCCAAGGCAGCGTATCAATATTTGAAAGCAGCTATTTCCTCCCTCCAAGTTCAGCGGTAACCAGGGTATCTATGAGAACCTGTTGAATGACTTTTACAAAATCTATATCCTATGTCCTTCCTCTCACCACCCCACCTCCCCACCCAGGAGAATTTGATTTAGTAGCTAAGTTGTGTGTTCAGATATATGCTGCACTTGAGGTTAAGTATACTGGGACTGTGTTACCCTCAGATCATGCATCCATCAGGCACCAGCTGTGGAGTTCTGGGAAGGCCTGCCACGCACTGAGTCTTATATATAAAATGGGAACAATAATACTACGTATCTCGCAGAGATACAGAGAGGACAAAGGTGGTCAGCTAGCACTGGTTTCCTGTCTATTCATCCTCTCACAGACTGCATCATCCCAAACTGATCAGATCTGAGCAATTTTCGCAAAATTCTATGTGCATATGTATATGTTCATATTCCTTTAGATTTCCTGCATTCCTCAATTTGGAATAGGAATCAAGCATTCTTGTTAAATACAGGGGAGAACTGACATATAGGAAGAAGAGGATAAAAGACAGTTTTCTTGAGTCTGATGACCAAGGTAGCTTTAGATATTACCAGTGTTGAGGTTCTCCTTTGGACAAGGGTTAACCTTGAAATCTTCACCACTTTTATTAGCTTAGGATGCTGTGTGTTAACTCTGCACAAGGACGTGGCTGCTGATAAATACCACGTGGAACCCTGGTTATGGTTTGGAACTAACCAAGCTTTGGGAGATATGTTGTACCACAGCAGAGGTGCTAAGGTCAAGCTGGATCCATCCCCTTAGTTGACTCAACTTACTGAATCCATTAACATCTTGAGAGCTAGAGGAGAAGCCTTCATCGTTGCGACTGGCACTGAGCTTGGTGGCGGGTTTGTCGGCTGAGGCCACGGGTCCCATTTCCCTCTGGGCTCCACTCTGTGTCTCCTTCTGCTTCTTGGCCAGCTTCCTTTGGGACATGTGCAAGGGGAAGAAAAAATCACAGTCAGATGGTGCCAGTTGCATGAAAGCATTGGGAAGATCGATTTCTGTCCGTCCCCACTTGCCACCCTCAATTTCCAAATCTTAGAAAGAGTCAAGGCAGGTACTGCATAGCCAAGGTGGAATAAACATAAGACCCTGAAATGGTTAATGGTCTCCATTTATGGGGAAATATGAGACTCATTCTGCCTTGTCCTAAACAATGGTATGTTTTTGAGTTTTCAAGGGGAATCAACAGTACTTGAAGGATGTTTCTCTTGCTCCCCTGTCAAAGGGAAGAAGACAGCAGGTGGATCTCTCTGTTTTAGTAGCTCTCAATGCCATTCAAAATAGAGTCTTGCCTTCTCAGAACAGAGTTCACAAAATAACCCATCATAGTAGGTGGGCAGAGAGTAACAGTGGAGGTGAGTCAGTCGTGTAAGCTTGAAAGGAGAAAAGTGAAAGCTAAACTTGAAGTATAGCTATTACTGTTGGAATAATATCCTTACAATGGGATGGGTATTATAATAAAAATAATTATAATATTATAGAGCAGCAGTTCTCAAACTCCAGTGTAAAGTAGAATCATTTGGAAGATTGATAAAAACAGACACTCAGGCTCATGGAAGTAAAACAGTGAGAATGCTTGCATGACTACCAAGTTCCGTGGGAGATTCTGATACTATCCATTGGAGGCTAAAACCATCAGCTGGGGTCAGGCAGAGTTGGGCTCATATCCTGTGTCTGCTACTTGCTGGCTGCTTGACCCAGGGTAAGTTCCTTACGTTCTTTAAATTCTGAACCTGTCTGCCAAATATGGCAAACAACAGGACAAACTTCATAGGGCTATGAGGATGAAATGAAATAGCGTGTGAAACATACAGAGCACAGTGCCTAGTACATAGTGAATATTCAGCAAACAGCAGCTGTTATTCCTGTTTTTATATATTGCTACAAGTTCAGCTGCTTCCAAGGTCTGAATCCCCACCCCAATAGGCCCACTGTGAAATCCCTGGATTGTATCAAGACTTTGATACCTCATCAATGAGGGAACTGAGGTTAGAAATTTCTTCTTTGTGAGGGTTTGAAACCTACCTTCCCTATATTTTAACTTATGGTTTTTTCAGTGATATAAAAATGAGTAAACCCTCTTGCATATGACAATTCTTTAAATAAAAACCAACCTGATCCCTCTAAGTTTCCCCAACATTTATGCATCAAGATAGGGTTATTATATCTCTATGGTATAAATGGCTATTGGTTGCACATTAAATATTTTGAGGGAAAATTCTTCCAGGTGTCTCCAATTTTCCCAGAACTTGGGTTCACACTCATTTTGGTCTCTTCCATCTCAACATGGAGAAAAGTCAAACTCAGCACATGCAGAAAGGAAGTTTACAATATTGAGCCCACCTGATCATGAAATGGGCAATTTCCAGAGGTGATGGTGTGAAGGAATAAGCCCAGACTCAGAGGTGTTTTAGAGGTGGTTTCTGTGGTAAATGCCAGATTAGTAGTATATCTATCCGCCTTGAACCAAGCATTGACTATGCAGAAGAATGCCAGCTGGAACATTCATATGAGGATAATTTACAGGATTATGTAGACCAGGACTGTTAACTGGGGTGAAAAGGTGTGGACAACCCAAGGTAAGATACAGGGACAGGATTACTCTTCATCCCTCATTTTGGCCACTTTACAACCAATGTAGACCAAGATGGACTTCCTCATTTCCACCCCTCCCCCTCTGGCCTGAGGAGAGCTGGGCACTCAGGAATAGGAATGCATCTTTTGGTTATAATTCTTTGGCTACGGGCATAGTGATTCACTAGTGAAACTATACCAGGCTTACAGAAAACAAAAACAAAAACAAGAAATGAAGCAGCAGATCAGCTGGGCCTTTCTGTACCACTGGCAGGCATCAGGAAGGGCTGGGGGATCTCCAGGCAGAGAAAAATGAGTGATTCTGTGGCTGATGACATTTTGAAGTTTCACTCTTCATTTATTATCAAAAAGGAATGTTTAAAAATGTATATGTGACCTTCTTAATCATAAATTTGAAAAGATATACAGCAGACCCTTTGCCTCTATCCAAGTTCCACTCACATGGCCCCAGCAGGAAATAAAAGGAAATGTGATAAGAGTTAACTTTAAAACTGTAATTGAGTATATTCTGGAGGCTTTGATATTTCCTTAGGGCAGGACTCCCAACCTATCCCATTCTGTTCAGGACAAAAAAATATGGAAAGAGTTGTCTTAGACACAAATCAATTCTTTCCAGAGGAAGAATAATACAGAAAAGGCCTTGCTGAGTCTATGAAAAATGGCTTTTTATAGAAATGTTTGCATAGTTCTGAACACCTGGATAAAGCAATGAAAAATTGAGCCTTTCCAAAATATATTTAAAAATTGGACAGCAAGCTGAATGCAAAAAGTCACATATATATGACATCTCGCGTATTTGGCTCATGATCGAAATGGTGTTCACAGTGACACTGCTGCTATAGAGCCATTTTGAAATGTATAGAAAGGCATTTCAGCAACAGGTAGACACACGACAAAGTGGAAATGGGGAAATGTAGAAGCAAATAAAGCACAGACCACAGCTGGGGGAACTTTCTCCTAGCAGAATTCAAAATTTAAGTGTTAAAGAAACTTGTTATATCTACAGGAAAAATCAAGTTTATTCCTACAGCCATAGGTTTTCACTGATCCCCCTCTCCCCTATCTTTTTCCTAAGAAAGGGAGGTTCTCAAACGGTGAGCTGGACATACCAGACTCATCTTCAGGCTTCTACTCAGCCTCATCCGGCACACTTCTCTCTGCTAAGGACACACCGACCTTCTCACTTTCCTCTCCATACCCTCCTCAGTGCCCGCTGCTCCTTAACGAGTCTCTATTCTCCTCTGGTCTTCTAAACAGATCCTCTTGGTTGAAAAACCCACAAAACAAGTATTTACAAGCACCCGCAGAGATGATATATAATCTCTGCTAGATGTAAGAAGTCCATTGTGTCAAACCCAGACATGATCTTGACTTCCACAGAACACAGTGGCTAATGGCAAAGACAGGCACTACACCATAAATACAGAAATAAATATAAAATCACACAGGTGATGAAAGCCAAGAAGGAGAAACACATGGAGCGATAAGAGAGCTAATAACTGGTTTGAACCCTGTCAGCAGATCAAGGAAGGCCTCGTTGCTATGTGAGCTGAGCACTCTTTGAGCAGAATTGCAGTGATTCAACTCTCTTACCCACTAGAGCAAGAACCTCTTGGGACGAGAGGCTTTTGACTTCTTGTACCTACTCCAGCTTCCTCCCAAGCGTCTGGCAAATAGCCGGTACTCAATAAATTTGTTGTGCAAATCCGAATTTAAAAGTCTACAATTTGAAGCATAGATTGCATCCTATTCTGATCACAAATCAGATCCACTTCCAAAAGGAATCATGCAGAGAAAGAGGAAGAGAAACCTGCATGGAATTAGTTTGTGATCAGGAATATTTGCACTTCTGAGTGAACACTTTTCAACAACTGTCTTTCCTTCCTGAGGTTGTCACAAAACTCTCAGGCTCTTTGAAGAACGATTGGAATGTACACAGGAGTCAGTGTTTTCCCCCTCAGTGCTCACAGAGGCATCCTATACCTATAGATTGCTTTTGTGAAGTCCACAAAATAGTCCCAGGACCACGTCAAATCATGAGAACTCCTCAGAGCCTTCTCATTTCTGGAACTTGTTGGGGGGACTACCCAACCTTGGAATTTTTTCACTAGTTGTTCTGAGATTCTTACTGATTGGGTCACACAGTTTCGCCAGCAGGGGGTACCAGAAGCTGGTAAAAAGACAGCATGCATAAGCCTATCTCTTTTTCTGCAGGGATGTTTCTGGGGCTGAAGAATGTTTTAAACACAGCAAGGGGACATTTACTGCTTCTGACAGGTGGGGGCTGCGTGACGTGGCTGCAGCTCCTGGCATGCTTCCTCCTAACAGATCGCATCGAGGCCTCCGACCTGTGCTTGTTAGCTGAGTGGGGGTAGGTGGCAGGGGATGTGCCTATGATGGGCCACGAGCCCTGTGATTTATTCTGAGCACTACTCTTTATAAAGGACAGTGGCAGGTGGAACGGCTCAAGGGACAGGAATGCAGGACTGGGAAGGTTCTGAAATACACTATCAGGAGGAGTTTCTGAAACAAACAGGGACATTTCTCATGGAGACAGAATATTTAGGAATGTTCTCTTCACACATTTGACATCTGGCCCCAAGGGGCAGAATTAGGACTGGGTTGGCTTGACACAAGGAAGAAATATCTAGCAAGATAGAGCTGCGTGGGTCTCTTCTGAAAGTATCTAGCACATGAATTGCCCTTTCTATTTTTTCCTCTCAGGCAACCTTTTCTTCACCTTTAGAGGTCTAAGAAGTCTTTGCCTTTCCCCATAGTTAGTAGTTTCTTCTTTCTTCAGTACTCTATTGTTGAAACATCTTTAATGAGCACCTGCTTTTTAGAGTACCTACTGGATGGAAACAGACCATGATGGGAAAATCCAGATGTGACCCTGCTCTCTTTGGGATTCTGGAAGTAATGAGCTCCCCATCATTGGAGGAGTTCAAGTAGCATCTGGAAAACTACCAGGAAAAGGGCAGTAGGACCTTCTAGCAACTGGATTCTGTAAAACCATTGAATCTGTTCTGGGCTAGGAAGAGGAGGCAAAAGACATTGGGCAGGAGTCTTGGCAGTTCTGCTGTTTATTTTCTTTGGCTGTGAAGAGTCAGACCCATTTTTCTGGGGAACCATGGGCCAGACCCCATAGTCTTCCTGGCTCCTTCTTCCATGGGCATCTCTGGATGGACTTCCAGGGGGACCACAAAGACTGAAGCCCCGGGGCCAGAGAGCTGTCCAACCTCTCCCTGTGAGGTGGACAAAGAAAACAGCTGAGACTCTACTTCTATTTTAAACCTAGTATTTTGGGCCCTCCCTGGTGGCGAG